TATCGGTATTTACAGGGTTTTCGATACTAATTCGCAGCAACACAAGCGCAGACAAGATCCGTTTTCATGGCGGAGGTTGGTCCAGAGGGGGGGGGTTACCATATATATATATATATATATTCGTAAATCGCATCCTTAAGGCTACTGCAATCACTGGGCTCTCTTTTCCTTTCGCCTTGCCAGCGGGGTCCTCCTGTAGAACCTGTGTTCTACTCACAGGAAGTGCTTTGGTAAAACATGCGATTAAACCTCAACCTCTGACTGGACAGGCAACTCCTGGCAGCCTGTTGAGGTCTCGAACCTATCCCGCCCCCGAAAGGATAACCCGACGAGGGATCGTCTCTGAACGGCTGGGAGGGTGGGCAAAGAACTCCTGCCGTTTTGGCTCAACTGCCCAGGCTTGAGCCAAAAGGGGGCATGACAAACGATCACAAACGAAACATGTGCACCCAAGCCTGCCAAACTGGACACATGGATATATATCTTCGTGGTGATAGCTGGAAAACAAGGTCATTCACGGACCTTCCTGCCTCGATGCGGTTCGACAGAAATGCTTCGCTCAGAGCAGGATATGCCGCTACAGCCTGGGATAGATCAAAACAACAAAGAGGCTGTCGTCACCATGCCTCACTGAGCTTGCCTTTTGAAGGGTCTGCTTGCTAACCGCCCATGGGCAGTCCTTTGCAAATGGACGGTGAGAGTCTTGCCTGCAATCACAGAGAGGCAGGCTGTTCCTTGTCCAGCTTGAGGAGCTCGAGGGCACACGCAACTGGCCTCAGAGCAACTCGGCAAGTCTGTCAACCTAACGTGCCAGTCTCAAGACTTACCTGCATCCATGAGCGCGGAGCGCAAACATCAAGGTTGCCAGGAATGCGATTGGCCTGCTCAAGTGCTGGTCACTGTCACGAGTCAACGAACCAACATACATCACTTCAGACGTCCTCCCTGCGAAACTACTGTGCTCGTGCCAACATGTATTTTCTGGCGAACAACGCCGATCAAGCGTCAGACAGGGTACTGCAATCCGCGGCTTGTTGCCTGGAGTCTGCCAAGGCCCCCAGTGGCATAAATGGCACCTGAGCTCGCAAGAGGCTTGTGCACGCTGCTTGCCAGGATGCGAAGCACGGCTTCGATGGAAGCAAGATTGGACCAGAAACCGCCGCAAGTCGGGCACCAAACCAACATCCGCACATGTTCCCAGGCTTGCCGTTACCCCGAGGCAGCAGCTCCCTCGGCATCTTCCTTCACAAATCTGGTAAAGGAAGCATCTGAAGATGGACAAACCTCACCGCGCATTGCACGGGACCATGCACAAAGAAACCTCCGACCAATGAATGTCGTGTGCACATGGGCAGATACCTGCTAGCTCGTGGACAGCTGTCAAGATATTCCAAGACCGACACGGAAGCGGCATGGTGCAAAGATGCAGCGAAGAGATGGGGATTGCCAAGGCGTCCGACGAGGAGTAGTGGAGCCTTGCATAGGCCCAGAAGCCATTAGTCAAAGCCTGGAAGGCATGAACTTCATTAGGTTTGCGTGAAACATCTGAAGCCACGGCCCACGACCGCTGCGATTGTTGAATGTGGAGCTCCTCCCACAGGCTTCTGGAACTTGATTTCGAGCCACCAGGGGAGGACAGAGGCCTTGAGGGTGCTCATGGTCGTGGCCAAGTTGTAGCGCTGGAGGTACAGCCTCGAGGCCCCCCAGGCGCGAGGCACGGCAGGGGATTCGGGGGCGCACGCCCCGCGCAGGTCAAGGCCGAGGCAGCAGAAGCGCGGGCAGGTCCTCGGGGCCGAGGCTGCAAGAGGCGCTGTGTGAGGCGCTCTCTGTGTCACTCTGTCATGGCCTCAAGCATGTAATTTGCATGCCTTATCTGCCACCGAGGGTCGTTGTCGATGCAATAGTTGATGAAGAAGCAGTGGAAAGGACTCACTGTTCCCACCGGCAGCAAATGGTCCAGTGGCAATGATCCCTCATCGCTGTCAGAGCTAGGCAGCTTAGATGCCAGCGTCACTTCACGTCCCTTTGATGGCTCTAGGCTCATTCCGTCGCCGAAAAGCTTGCCGCAAATCGTCAGACGGCACAGAAGCGCATGGAAGTCCTGCGTATCACCGCTGCAAAAGATTCCTCGGCGGCCCAGCTGCTGCAGAAGGACCTCTCGCGCATAGGACGTGCAGAAGCGGAGACCACGATGCTCGAGCTTCTCCAAGTCCACGCAGCTCTTGCCGCGTGCATCCACACAGTCCGAGGCTGAGAAGGGAAGCGATCTCACCCAAGCTGCAAGGCCTCGCCAATCCTGGTGGGCAACGAGGAAGTTCAGCCAGCAGTGTTGCCACGCTTTGGCTGGCGGCCCAGCTTCAGCAGGTGGCTGCAACCAGGGCAGTGGCTCAACCAAGCGGGGCCAGAAGTGAGTCTTCTCCATCACGATCCGTGCCCGCGTCTCCCAGCTCCTGCACGCAAGACAGCAACGCTTGCCTGCCGCCGAACCGCCTAAGTCCCAGCCCGTGCGCTCCACTGCCGCATCCAAGCAAGCGTTACGTGGAGATATCCCATGGTGTGGCCTAAGGCGGCGATAGGCGGTGTGGAGCAGTGTGTGTCGAAAGTAGTAGGGTCTTCGGAAGTCGTGCTACATGCAATGGCTGCTTAGGCCGCAGCTCTTGGGGCCGCCCTCGTCCAAGCCCAGGGCCTCTAAAAAAGCATAGAGCGCAAGGAGCGCAAAGCAAATGCACTTCAAGTCGGCTGCAAAGCACCCTAGCACGGCTGCCTCCAGGAATCCTTCTGAGTGCGACAAATCCTTGGAGGCTGGTGCTCGTCGCGACTCCGAAAAAAGGATTCAACAAAGGCCCGCACAGCACTCAAAGGGGTGTCCTCATCCTGCGGCCTCGCAGGAGACAAACAAAGGTGCGCTCGAACTGTGAAAATTGGGTGCCAAGCCCCTCCAGTCGGCAGCGACGGCAGCCTCGGCAAACGCTCCTTTTAGGATGTGCTGCCTTTTCGGTGCGACGCTGGTTGCTCATGTTGCTGCGAAGGCGTTGAGGTCTCGACTGGCCCGAGCAAGCGGCGCCGACTCCAGGCTGTTCAGCATCTCCTTACACGATGCCCGAAGCTGCAAGCGTTGATATCGTTGAGTGCAGTTGCTCGCAGCGCTTGATCTGTGTTGGCCTTCTAGAAGTGACAGATTTGCTGGACAGGCCAGCAGTACTGCAGGCGAAACTGGGGACCTGGACTGTGTCACCTTCGTCTGCTTGTTCGCGCATATCGGCGACATCGTCCCCATGCACATCCTATACGGCACAGCGCAGTGCCCTGTCTCCAGCTATTCCGAATTGCTGCCGCATCTGATTCTGGTTCGCCTTGCCTGCGCAAGGTTGGATCCTTTGTGAAAGTTCGACAGGCCTTGCAGCTGTTTTTGCCAGTCGCGGACACGATTGCAATCGCTTTGATTTTCTGCAGCCGGGATCAGCACCCAGCACAGGTGTTGCATCTAAGTCTTCAACCTTCGGGATGAACATGAATGCAAAGGGTCGGCGAGGTTTGTGGCTTGGGTCGGAACATCGCCGCAAGGCATGCTGGCCCATCCCTTTCGTGCTCTCGGAGACATCTCGAGCATTGCGGCCATTGCTGGCCTAGACATGACAGAGATTTGCTCTCCAACAGCAGTGGCTGTGTCAAACAAGACTTGGCCGGGGCGACGTCTGGTATCCAGACCACATGTCATAGAGCTCCAAGGGCATGCGCTGTGCCATCGGCAGTTCCTGTCACCGGTATCGCCCTGCTGCGTTGACTGAACCTTTCAAACACTGGCTCTGTACCCTTGCAGACGGCTGGGCTGGGCCCTGAGGTTACAACAATGCAGGCCCTGCTTACTGGAGGGGGGTGCATCGTTGAGACGTGTTTGTGTCCCTGCCCAATGGTCACAACCATTTCCCTGACCCCAGCCGCACCCGCAAGCTCGTCTGTTGCTCGAAATACTGCGGTCCACCGCCACGGGTGTCCACCTGAGCTTCAGGGGGAATCGGTTAATAACTTTGCTCGCATTCATCACTTTGCTCGCACGAAAACTATTTCATATCAGCACCCAAGTGGCCCAGTGCTGAAGCGCCGCCGGACCCTGTGCAACGTCCCTTCCGGCCTTCGGCGTTCAGGATCATTTCTGGGCACTTTCGCTGGAAGTGAAAAGCAGCGGCCTCGCCAACAAGACTTTTTTCGTCCGGACGGCGGGCCTTTTCCAACACTGGCCACAGCACGGAACACTCGAAGCCATGACAGAACTTTGGCGGCTGTATCGAGCTTCGGACAGCAATGTGGCCGCCAATAGCACCATCACAGACAAGTCCTTAGAGACTAGCGCCGATCTCCCCAGTAAGGAGTTCAAGGAGCCCAGGGTCCAAGCCCACAAGCAACATGGGCTGGCCACCTGCCGGCCAAGAGCAGAAAGGCGGCACAGACCTGGTCGAGGAATGAGTACTAGAGGATTCAAGTTCGTCCACTCGGGGAGCTGCCCGCTGTGAGCTCGCTGTGGGTACTGACCCGTCGTTAGGCCGGTGGTCCTGTGCACATGGGCGCTGCATGGTTCAACTTTGCTCACATGCTAAACCTCGAGGAATGTGGGACTCCGGGACTGCGGAAGCAGGACTGCCAAACTGCGAGCTAGCCGCATTCTGTTGAACTCGGTGGTGTAGCAGGGATTGGTGTAAAGCCTGGCACCGAAGCACCAAAAAAGTCCTTCTTCTTAAGCAGCACTTATGCTGCCTCTCCAGCAGATTTACCAAAGAAATGAGTGCTTGTTCCTCTTTCGAGAGTCGCCGCCTCAATGAGTTTCTGGCACCACAACAAACACATGACACAACGATTGAGGGCCACGCATGTGCCCAACATGTCGCAAGAGACGTCGGCGCACCAAGCGCTTGGAGGTGTGAAAAGCAACAGCCTCCAGACGACCAAAGCTGCCGGCTGTCCAAAGCAGTCAAAACCAACCTGAAGAACCCTGCTTTTCTCAGCCAATGCTCCAGACCCTTTGTCATCTGTACATTTGACTAAGTAAATATAATCTGAGCCATACTCTGTCTGACATGCACGCTGCGCCCCATGAGCCACCAGAGTTCAATAACTTTCTTGCCTGTGGCAGGTCGCAGAAGATAGATGCATTGTGAATCGGATAGGACAGGTCTCCGCATCGATGCGCGGTCATTGAATGCCGCCCGTCTGCACAAAAGAATGGTTCTTAGGAGGCCAGGAGTTCGCACTGTGCGTGCCGTCATCTCATGTCACTGAGATCCCTTTACAGAACCGGCACTTGGACTTGTGCTTCGCGCTTGCTACATCCGCCGCAGATAATTTCCTGCGGGAACAAGATCACAGGATCACCTAGGATCACAAACACAACATGCAAGCAATGTTGTGGAAAAAGGTCGAAATGGATTTGGAGCTACTAACAGCTCACAGGCGACTAGGAAGTCTCAAAATCCCGAGAGCCCCCGTCGCTGCTCTGCCGCAGTTGAATTGCCTTGGGCCGATTCACCGGACAACCACCGCTTTCCGCCGCTCCAAACAAGCGTACAAGGTTGGCTGTGGGTTATCACAGTCGTGCTTGCGCAGCTGCAGGGATGTCATCCGGAGACAAAGGCGATGCAAAGAGGTCGCATCGGTCCATGCAGCCTCTTACAGGCCCCGTCTAACATGAACAAATCTTCGGTCGTACTCAGTCTATACACTTCCCGAAAAGAGAACTCCTGTGCCGAGTTCTGTTCAGGCAACTGATCTTACGCTCGAGCTGCCAGCGTGCACAATTTCGCACTGCAGGCATTTGTTAAAGCACTCTCCTCGCCTCACCTGCTCAGTCTCACAGCAGCGGATTGAGATCAGCTGCTTCCGCCCTTGGTCGCGGATCGAAGGGCTCGTGCCCAGGATTCGACTGGCACGTAGTTCCGCTCTGCAAAGCGATGCCAGCCCATGCTTTTCCAGAAGTGGCAAAAACAGCTTCAATGCGTCGACATAGTCGACCAGATGCACGAAGGAACGGAAATAGACCACAACGACGGTCACCGCAATCCATTTGAAGGACTGTCAGCCGTCACGGGTAAGGAGGAACCCAAGTTTTTTAAGAAGTGTTCTGCAAGGACGGCTCTCCAGCCCGATCAAACCACCCCCTCAACTGAAGGTGTTTAGTTCGCTGAGACCTAGATGTGCTAAGCTGCGCAATGCCAGGGCCATACAGGATCATGTTCCAGATGCTCAAGGACATCGGCAGCAGGCTCGCCTCACCACGGGCACGTGAAGCATGGCTTCTTGACTGAGACCGTTTTAGCCTCGGAGCTCCTTCGGCCTGCTCTTGAATCTGAAAAGGACTGTAGGATGTCTGTGACTGTTCTTTCGGGTTCCGAGCCTTTGCTTCATGCGTCGCTTGACTGGTCTTCTGCTGCCGCGCGCTCTTGCAACGGCGGCTTCTCGGAATTACTGGGCCTTGCCTTGTGTACTCGTTTTCCTGAAGCACTCACTATCTCAGAGTTTGTATTAATCTTGGTCTTTACGCCAGCAAATGCAACCCCACAAGACCTGTCAACAAAACACTGCAACTTACTCGCCGCACGCAGGTACAGCTGAGGTAACCGCAGCGGTCACTGGCATGTAGCATTCGCAATTTCCACCTAGAACCATCGCCCATTCATGCTGGCCACAAGATGCCCACGTGTACAAGACACACGCACTAAAGGCATAATGAGTAAACTTCCGACCGCATGCAGCATCCAGCATCCAATGCAGCCAGAGCAGCAGCGAAGAGGCGATGACCTTGTTGGCATGCTCGTGTTCCACTGTTTGCTTCAGAGCTTGTCAGCAATCCAATTTTGAGCATCCACAGCTAGCAGTCTTTGGCGCGGGACCTTGTCCGTGCAGGGCAGTCGCAGCCACTTCTGCACATCTCATTCTGGTTGTTGGTGAAGGCAGGAGGCCTGAGCCCCACAAATGCACAGGGAAGACCTCTTCTTGTCATTTACGATCTGTGCTGAGCTTTGATCCGACTATCCAGTGCAGGACCTGGAGGTCCCACTGTCATTGTCGGTCTGTGCATGTTGGCCGCCTGCCAAAAGGAGGTCTTCCTTCGACTTCCTAGTCAGGCTGTGCGCACTTCTTCTGGCAGGGCGCAGCCTGATGTGCGACCTGGTGCACCCGGCTGATGCCAAAACTGTGCCGACTTATGGCAGCCGCAGCCCTTGGCAGGAGCTTTGACCGAAATCTGAAACGTCTGAGTCTTTGGTCATTCCCTCGAAAGCTCGACCTAGGCCTGCGACAATCGTCTGGACAGCATCTCAGCAGCACTTGCTATTCCTCTGAGACATCCGCAGAACAAGCATCAAGTATTCGAATGCACCAGCCGACTTGTGTCCATCCTGGATTCTCTCGAAGTTGAGAGTGCCACTGTTTCTCTCGGGAAGAAACTCAAGTTCTTGATCCCAAAATGGCTTGACACAGAAATTTTGCAGCTGCTGAACGCATCGAAGACGACCTGACTTGCTAGCGAAGGGCGAGCCTTGAAAAAACGATTCACGTTCTCTCCTGGCCAAGAGCACACGAAAGCCCAAGCAATCGAACACGTAAAGCAGTTCCCAGCAACAAGGCCTACGTTGCGAAGCATGTGCATTGCAACAAAGAGGAAGTCCAGCCTAAGCTCTGTGTCGAATCCGCAGGCAAATTTCCCCCAACACCCGCTTCTCTTCGTGAATCTTGGAAAAGTTCGAAGACTGGCGCTGTGCCAAGTGTTCGGATCAGGCCCCTGCTGCTGGTTGCAGACCAGTTGGTATGCCAGCCTGGCAAGCGTCATGAACTTCGGAGATGCCCCTGGCGAAACGGCTGCAACGTGATCGAAAGCAGTATCTGAACTGCCAAAGGACCGAAAACAAGTTCAGGCGACGAAGACAAATGCCTATGCACAGCAGACCACAGCTTGCAAGTTGCAGAATCTGTGTGGCCTGCCGGCCGTTACCCGGAACTCCTCGAAGACATTGCCTTCACTTACGAGAAAGTTGCCTATGGCCTGGGCAAGAAGCGGTACCGACCTGAGCCTGCATCAGTTTCCTTCAGCTCGTGGAACAAGTTCAAAGCCGAAGAGATGCCTTACCCGGTCGGGACCTGGCGTTGCACCTTCTCACGCTTCTGAGCAAGCCGCGTCCGCTCATCAAGGCACTTCGCACGATGGCCTGCAAGGGTAAAAGGAGTAAGCACGCCAGCGGACCTCTGCCTTGGCTACACTCCGACCAACAAACATGAGACCTCCCATCATGTTCGCCCTCTGCCCATGACCCCCGGTTGTCCCGTACCATTCCGATTCGTGAGTTGTTTTCAATTCTTGGCAGGGTCGGGTGGTGGGACTTTGCCAGTACCCCTTCGTCGTCGTGCCTCCGTGCCCTCAGTGGTACGCAACTGCGTCAAAGGCAAGGATGGACGATCCTGGCTCCAACTGCGTGTATTTCATTTGACGGCTCTCCCTAAAACATGGCCACCGTGCACCCTGGAGCTTTGCGGCGAGCCTCACACCGGCGACACTTTGTTTCTGCAGTCAAGCTGCCGGCATGCGGCACACGACAAGCTCATGGCGACAAACTTGCATCTGCAGCCGCCCCTGTCTTCAAACCTGAGATGTTGGCACTTTTTGAGCACTTCACGTGGGGGACAGGGAGAGAAGGCTCGACGTTGAAAGCGTCATAGCAAATTACCTAAACCATAGCTATTGTGGCTCGCGACTCTCCTGCATTACAGATGTCGTACCCGCACGAACACAACATGTTCGGTAACCAAGAAAGACAACACACGTCACTGCGGCCGGCCATGAGATTCCGATGCCACTGTGAGCACCACTACAGTTCACTTCAGTGTTCTCTGTGAGGACCGGGACAGAGGAAAAGGGAAAGCCAATGAAGAAGTGGCATGATATGACGCGATCCGAGGGAGTGTTCCAGACTTATCCAGGCCGGAAGCGACGACAGAGCGGACATTTCGAGGGTTCGAGAGCAGGTCACTTCCGACGCAGTTTAGCAACCCCAACAATGCCTCTTCTCGACGGAGCGTCAGAGCTAGTTTGTGATTCTCCAACTCGCCGACTGGGCCGCTGAGCTCTCTTGATCTCTTACGTATCTTCCATGCTTCCGAAAAGGGCTGAAAAGCTGTCAAGAGCTTATCTCAGTATTGGGCGTCCAAGGTCATCATTGCGTCGGCCTGGACACCGCCTGCCATGACGTTCTGGCACATACTCTGCCCTACAAGATTACGGCATCTGAGGCAGCTACACCACGATGCCACTGTTACATGCAGCTTCTTCACCAAACGATCGCACCTCAGGCAGCTCCTTCGTTTCCAACAGCCAGCAGCGCAGAGAAACGGGATGTAATTAAAGGCCGCGCCAGCTGCTGTTGGATGTTCCGGAGGGACTGCATGAAGACCTGGACGGACGCAGAGACATCTTCCGCAGCGGAATGCAACAACTTGTGCAAGCCAAGGCGAAAGCTGTGAGCTGCGAAAGCTCGTACACCATCAGCGCATACCTAACCCGAAAGCGAGGAAGCGTTGGAGCTAACAGCTCCCTGGGAGCCTGGGAGAGCCCGCCTCTCTGGCTCTGCAGACGCGTGGGCGGGCTGCAGGTAGGTGAGGGCACGGCACCTGCCCCAACGCAATCTGAGGCTCCTGGAGGGCAGAGTGCAACAGTGAGGTCAGGTAAGGATCACACGCACCATTGCACCTAGCAAAGCAGAGGGATACACCAGATCTTTTGATAAACAGAACCTCAAGTGCACATGTCGCTTCGTCGCTTTTGGCATAAGTGTTCCGCTCGCGGATCTGGACAACTCTGGTCTGCACCTTTGTGTTGAGTCAACCAGGGCAGTCGCAGACTTTCCCTAGATTCTTGCAGCACCTCTGCGAATTTTCTTTGTTCTCTGACGCTGGTCTCATGCTCGAACTCCAGTCAGCATCTTCTCACCTTGGCATCCTTGAGGTGCCTAGCCCTCCTGCCCCTGCTCGAGGTCACCTGGTGCTGATGCTCCCGTCGGTCTCCTCAAAGTGTCGCAGCATGTCACATGAAATCACATTGCACCCGCCACTAGCATCTGTACAATGAGTGTCCGGCCACGACAAGCTGTGGCTGGAGATCCTTGCGTGACACATGGACTAAACGCACCGAAGACTCCGCCTGCCCACGGTGGCCCAGGCAACCCAGGGCCTTGGAGACTTCGAGGATGTCGTGTGTGCTTCAGGTCGGTGTCCTCCTACTCCGTCTTCCTGCAAGGACGGCTCTGCTTGAGGTCTGAATCGTGTAGCAGCCAGCTCCAGGTTACAAGTGCTGCAAAGGACCTGCGCCCGGGCCGGCCGTAAATCCACCAGGCATACAAAGCCAGCGCGTTGGAAAGCAGAGTGCAAACAGTCCTGGCCGCGATCGTGCTCACTGATAGCTGCGAGGCTGAGAGGTCACTCCCACAGCCTCTGAGCGCAAAACTGGGACTCGGCTTGGTCCTCACTGCGAGAGGTAGCACGGCTGGCCATCCTTTCGAAGAAGGATCGAAGAAGAAGCGCCTCAGCTGAGCCGCTGAGCACCACAGAATTCGGACTACATTAGACCCGCGGTTGTCTGATTTGCAAGAAGAGTCCTAGGTCCTAGAATCACCAGCATGCTCCCCGCCAACTTTCGTCCACTTATTGAAACTTGGTGGTGTTGCCACCTTTTCTTGTCCACTTGCAGGCAGAAGGCTATTCACATGCACAAGATGCCAGCCTCAGGCGAGTTGACCGAGCAAGCAGTGTTGCGGCCCTCGCCGCCTTTGCGGCCCAGGCACGCGAAGAGCCAGCGGGCGACGCCGGAGACGATGTTGTCAACGGCCTCTTTCGGCAAGACACAAGTCTGAGCAGAAAGGAGCGAAGCCGAATCGGCCGCCAGGGCTCCCACTGTAAGCAGACCGTTTGCAGATGCCTGCGCCTGGCCATGAGCTAGCGGACAACAAGGAACCACAATCAGAATTTCTCGCATGGCCTGCGGAGGGAACTGGGAGCTGAAAAAAGCGGCATCGGATCCACCATCTCCCGGGCAGAAAGCCAAAAGGCACCTCCAAACGATTCACAAGATGAGGCCATCCAGAAATTCCAGTGTCGTCATCACTTTCGGCCTCATGCCGACATGTACGAGTTCCTATCAGCGTCCTAATCCATGACGTCGTTCAGTCGAAAATGGACTGTGACTCGTCGGATCAAAGTCGGCAGGGTGGCGTGGATGGGCAATCAAATTGCCACTTAGACTTAGAGCCGATCATGAAGACGACAGGATGAGAGCATCGTCTTTCCAAACGCAAACCCAAACAGCCGCAAGCCAGTTTCGTCACCAACAGCAGCACGAACCTTCCCCGAGGGTTGTGAACTGGGATGCTTGGTACGATCACTCTGTAATCTGCATGGCCGAAGTACGATACTAGTTGTTATTCTCGAACTAGCGCAACGCTTATCCTCATAGCCCGCAACCGGCCGGATCCACAAAACCACATCACTTCCCTCGAATGAAGCAAGCAATCAAACACGTGTGAAAGCATGACCGCACCTCGGCACCAAGAGAAAAGCAGCACCGAATGGCGCGAAAGTCTGAATCAGCAGCCTTGGATGCTTCAAGCTCGGAAATAAGAAGCCTTGACAAAAGGCCTTTTGGCCGGGCAGCATGGCGGATCCGAAGCCGAGGCTTGCTTGTTGGTACCAGAAGCTGTTTCTCGGGTTTCTGGCCCATTGGACCATCAAGCCACTCGTCGCCATGCCCCAGAACTCACGAAAACTACTGATCGGCACGTTCACCAGGTCCCAATCTCCGGGTCCCCAGCCTAGGTGCCACACAGCACTATACCCACATACGCAGATTTGTCCAAACATGTCCAAACCGAACCTAGGCCTTAGGCTTTTCTCTTGCCTCAAGCGTATTAGGGTGCTGTCTTTGGCTGTTGCTCGGATCTTGTGCGTGTCACGGGGGAGCTCTTTGAAAAAGGTCGCCCGGTGCACTGTTGATAAACGTAGTGCTGCTCGTAAGAGAGTCGTGTTTAGAACAACCACTGCACTGAAGGTGGCGGAAGGGGGGCTGTCTTGGTTCATGTTGCGAGAGGCCCAGCCCCAACTCCACCACCACCACTACCACCAGCACACCACTACCAGCTACAACTTGCGACGGCAATTCCTACGGCTGTTCGGCAAGCACTTCGTGTAACCACCATATCAAGGTGTGTCTGCTGCTCAACCCAAACCTGTTTGCGAAGACGGCTTACAAATATGGACTGTTTTTTCGTTCTGGCAACCCAAACTGATGCATGACTATAGCCACTCATTCATGCGTACGTCTGTAACGTACAGTGCGCCTCCTTGTGCGTGTCTGGAACTGTGATCCTGCCGAACGTAGCCTAACCGTGCATGTGTTTATAGATACGGGCTTCATGTTTGGCTATTTACATGTGCATGGCTACATATGGCTACCATGTCATGTCCGCGTAAAGGTGGTAAATCAGTATTTGAGCTCAAGCATGTTGTTGGTTTAATTGTGACAAGCACTTATGTATGCAATGCATGGACATTAAGGCCAGCCTTCATGTGTTCGTCCCTAAATGTGCCCAACTACTTACTAGTAGAAACGTTGATCGCTGGACTGTTACGTCGAGAATGGTCAATTGATCCTGCCAAAGTCGCAGAAAGTACCGTAACCTGCTATGTAAATACCTCTGACGTCGCCTCCCAAAGTTGAGAATTCATGGCTAAGTATTCTTGGTGTAAATTTTTGCCATACCTACACGATCCCAATCCTCATCCCAAGCATGCTCGTGAGAGTGTATATGTAACATTTAGCGCACGGCGCAGAGCTGAATAAACGTGACGTGTGTAGGCAGGCATGTGTATGTGTGACTGCATACAGACAGATAGATAGATAGATAGATAGATAGACAGTGGATAGATAGTTAGTTAGATAGCTAGATAGACAGATAGCTAGACAGATAGATAGACAGATGTATACATATATACATGGGCATGCATGTATGTATGCATGCATGGATGCACGTACGTGTGTATGTAGGGGTGTGTGCGTGTGTGTGCACGCCTGTACACGGCGACCATCTAGTGTGACCGCATGGCAAACTGCAGGGGGACGGAGGGGGTGTAG